TTGTTTTCTCATTTATTTTTTGCCTATGAACATCCAATTACTCCAGCACCATTTGTTGAAAACACTATCGTTCCTCCACTGAATGGCTTTTGAATCTCTGTCAAAAATCAGTTGGGTATATTTGTGTAGGTCTAGGTTATTGTTGTCCATTTCACTGATCTATGTGTCCATCTCTCTGCCATTACCATTCTGTCTTAATTACCCTGGCATATAATGAGTATTATATTTGATTAGTGCTATTGTTTGGCTGTGTCCCCACCCAAATCTCATCTTGAATTGTAGTGCCCATAATCCCCACGTGTTGAGGGAAGAAACAGGTGGAAATAATTGAATCATGGGAGCAGGTTCTCCCATCCTGTTCTCATGATATAAGTTCTCACGAGATCTGATTTTATAACAGGCTTCCCCCTTTAGCTTAGCTCTCATTCTTCTCCTTCCTGCTGCCATGTGAAGGACATGTCTGCTTCCCCTTCCACCATGAGTGTAAGTTTCCTGAGGCCTGCCAGCCATGCTGAACTGTGAGTCAATTAAACCTTTCCTTTATAAATTACCCAGTCTCAGATACGTCTTTATTAGCAGCATAAGAACAAAGTAACACAGGTAAAATGATCCCTCTCACTTAATTCCTCCTTTTCAGAATTGTTGTAGCTACTCTGATTTGTTTTTCCAAATACATTTTAGAATAATCTTGCCTGTACAGGAAGAAGAAAAAAAAACCTTGCTGGAGTTTTAATAGGAATTGTATTAAACCTGCATATCGATTTAGGGATCATTAACATCTACACTACAGTGAGTCTTCCAGTCCTTGTACATGGTCATTTATTTAGATCTTTGATTTCTTTCATCAGTGTTTTGTTGTTTTCAGCATCAGTCCTGTACATGCACTGTCAGATTTACACCTACATAGTTTTTATTTTGAGCAATTATCAATGCTATATTTTTAATTTTGGTTTCCATGTGTTCATTGCTAGTACATAAAAGTACAGTTGATTTTTGTCTATTCTCTTATGTTCTGAAACCCTGATGAGTTTTTTAGTTCTAGAAATTATTGTGTAGATTCTTTAGGACTTTTTTTTAACCATGTTTTTCATTTCATTTTTTAAAAGTTCATTCATTCAAAAAATTGTTAGATTGAGCTGGGCACGATGGCTCACGCCTGTAATCCCAGCACTTTGGGATGCTGAGGTGGGAAGACCATTTGTGGTCAGGAGTTCAAGACCAGCCTGGCCAACATGGTGAAACCCCATCTCTACTAAAAATACAAAAATTAGCCAGGTGTGGTGGTGGGTGCCTATAATCCCAGCTACTCAGGAGGCTGAGGCAGGAGAATCACTTGAACCCAGGAGGCTGCAGTGAGCTGAAATCACACCACTGTACTCCAGCCTGGGCAACAGAGTGAGACTCCATCACACACACACACACACACACACAAAATTGTTAGATTGTTTAGTGTTGTAACTGCTAGATATAGAGGTAACTAAGAAAATTAAGGGGTTTGTTTTCTGACCTCGTGAAGCTTAGATTCTAGAGGACAGAAAAAGGCTGTAAACATATAACAAACGAGGAGAACGGTAGGAAAAGACACAAGAGCAACTTTATGGAGGGCCTTAAAGTCAACAGTAGCCATTTGAATTTTAAGATGATAAGCACTGGAAGATTTAAAATAGGGTAGTGAGGCTGCTCTGCCTATGAAGTAGCCAATGGTATACTTTTAATTTTTAATTTTCTTTTATTCATTTACTTTCTTAATAAACTTGCTTTCACTTTGCACTGTGTAAAAAATTAAATGAAATAGGGTCATGAGATTAGCTGGGTGTCCATTTTAAGTTATTAAAACAAAAACCATATCAAAGTGGTTGGTGTGTTTCTTTCCTATCTTATTTTCTTTACAACTTAAAAAACGTATATGAACATAAATTTCATAAAGTCAGGGATTATTTGTAATTACTTCATATGATGGTTTATTTATCACAGTCCTCTCTATACAATCAGTTTGCTTTTGATTCTATAAGGTGGTATAATATAAATTTCCTAGGAGAAAACTAACCTCACAATAACGTTCTTGCAGTTGGCCAACTCTAACCACTGCTTTTGGAACTGCCTTTTCTCTTTGCTTATCACAAATATAAACACACACACACTTTTCATCTAATAGTATGATGAAAATAATAGAGACTCTAGAGTCAGACGTGATTATTTTTTTTAACCTCCTTTGGCTTCAGTATCTTATCTATAAAATGCAGCTATTAACATCTACTTCCAAAACCCTGTTTTGAGAACCAAGGGTAAAGTATAATATATTGAGTTCCAGGAACACAGAGGTTGCTCAATAATCACTCCCTATCCTGTGCTTTTTCTTCTTTCATCCCCATCACTCAGCTCCCATTCTCAGATCTAACATATTTGTAAAACCTGTAATTAGCAATTGAGGCCTTAGACTAAAACTTTATACAAAATTTTAATGCCCATTACGATAGCACCCACTAATCCAATGATTACTGGCATGACTCACTGCAAAAAAAAATCTTCCACAGACTTCTGAAAATATTTTAAAATGTTAAAAAGGACTATGGTATTATTACAGAATTTTTAGTTATGCTATAAAATAAATTTAAAGTTGGCCACTTTCAATTGAAATCTTATAAAAGAGAGTATTATACACATTTTTTTAACTAGTGGCAAAAGAAGGAAATAAGTTTTGAATATCTTGGTATAAAAACCTAATATTTCACTTCATGCATCTATCATTCAAGAGGTATTTTTAAAATACAGTCATGGTGCTTTTGGAAGTCTAATATTATGACGTTATGTAATTTATATGAATTAATAGTATTATGTTCTCTTAGACATCTTATTTTGTAATATTCAATTTTTCAAGACCTAGTATTAACAGAAAGAAGAAAATGTTATAGACAATTCAAAGTAATCTGTCAAGTTTTAAATTTACCAATTTTTTTTCTTGTCTACTTTGGAATAATCACTTCACTGGTACCATTCAGCAATCTTCATTCATCCTGTTAGTTTCTTAGCACAAAGACTAATTCCAAATTTCCTCCACTCCACCTCAAATCCACGCTCCTTCTTAATACTTCCTTCTTAATAGTTTATTTTCTATATTATTTTTGTCTTCCACTGTGGCATTATTCCCAGTAAAGACAAATATCTGTGTACCTTCACCTCCTGCCTATTGGAAAAAGGAAAGTTCCAAAATCATTCCTGTCTCTAGCATGATGGATAGATCAATTACCTCAATTCTCTTTTTTTTTTTTTTTAATTTATTTATTATTATTATACTTTAAGTTGTAGCGTACATGTGCATAACGTGCAGGTTTGTTACATATGTATACTTGTGCCATGTTGCTGTGCTGCACCCATCAACTCGTCATTTACATCAGGTATAACTCCCAATGCAGTACCTCCCCCCTTCCTACAACTCAACTTGGTCTTAAGTTCCCTTTTACTCAGCTCCTGTCTCCTCTAAACCACTCTTCGTAAGACTACCATAATCAACGTGTTAAATATGTTAGTATAATCGTGTTTGTAACTTGGTAAAAAAAAAAAAAAAAAAAAAAAAAACTCTTTAGCAAACTGAAGTAACAGAATTTTGTTCATTTTTCTACGGGACATTTTAAATGACCTATTTCTTTAAAGTTTTGTCTGTATTACAGGGCCTTAATGTCTAGTTTCACAACTATATTAACTAAGCCTGAAGGGCGCTATAGTTAGGCAATATTTTCCAATATAAAGAGCTCTGATTGAAGTTCAAACTCTTATTGTGAATCTTTAGAATTTGGCATGAAAGAGAACAAACATGATTGCATCTGTTCTTCCCTACTTTAAACCATCTTCAGTGTCAACATACACAATGAGTTTTGTGGTATTTCCACCTGGTTTTCTATTTTCAAAGTACTCTTTTGTATGACACAGGAATAAAAATACTTGAATTCTAATCTGCCATTTTCCCTTACTCTCCTCACACTTTTTTGGACGGCTTATAATTTTCGATATGGTACAAAGGCTCACTAACTGGTTTTTTGCTAGAGGCCTGCTTACTGATACTGATGGCCGCTAAATGCTAGGTATGCCGCCGGTATTGCTCTTACTTCAATACCGACATCGCACGATAAAAGGCAGTGGCATTTAGGCGCGCAAGCGCAATTCTTGATTAACGAGCCAAGGCAAAGTCTTCTCAATCCGAGTTTTGAGTTTTCCTTACTTTTCCCCCAAATGCTCTTTTCCTCAGATTTCACATCAATAGCACCTTCTCGAGTTTTCACGAGTAACCTGACGCAGGCGGAACCGACGGAGACTAGCCGGCGAGAATCCTACGGTCGCAGCCAGCTGCGCAGCGTCAGCCGGGGACGCTCTGTGCGGAAGACCGCCTGTGACTCGACACACTCTCCAGTGACGCGGTAGTCGCCGCACCTGCGCTGCAGGGCGGGAAGGAGGTTCGAGTGCCGGGGGAAGGGAGTCTACGACTCCGGGCGGAAGCTAGGGAAGCAGGGAGGGGGAGTGGGAAGAAGACAGGAAGAGACGGGCGGAGGGGCGGTCCTTGCCGGAGGTTTCTAGGTCCTTCACTTCCTGTTTGCCGGCACTTCAAAATCCGGGTCAAAGGGTGTCGCTTCGGTCTCTTTTACCCGGCTGATCCCAGCACCTTCCGTGACAGCGCCTCCTGACTCAGCCGACAGCCGGCTTCTTCTCACGATCTGCTGAAGCCTGGACGCCCACACCTGACCCGGAACTCGGAGGCGCGCTTCCTCCACCCACCGGCTAGCAGCCCCGGACCCTGAGCGCCCGCCGACGCCGCCGGGGGTCCCGACAGGCCTCTCCGCGCTGATGCTGAGAGGGATCGAGGGCCCGGGGCGGCGGCGGAGTACGGGCCTCTGGCGCCTTAGGCCAGCCGCAGGTGTCGGTTCTTACGCTCTCCAGGCTCGCCAGCTCTCGCCCCAGCTTGGATGGGTCTCCCTGCCCCATAAATGTGGCTGCTGAGGCGGCGGTGGCGGTGGCCCGTCACGCTGCTGCTGCGGCGCTCCAAGTTCACCTCCGCCCCGGGGCTCTCCTGCCCCACCTCGGGGCTGCCGCCACCCGCTCCTTATTCTCTGGCCCTGGCCTTGCTGCGTGGCGACAATGGACAAGATCCTGGAGGGCCTTGTGAGTTCTTCGCATCCCCTGCCCCTCAAGCGGGTGATTGTGCGGAAGGTGGTGGAATCGGCGGAGCACTGGCTAGACGAGGCGCAGTGCGAGGCCATGTTTGACCTGACGACCCGGCTCATCCTGGAGGGCCAGGACCCTTTCCAGCGGCAGGTGGGGCACCAGGTGCTGGAGGCCTACGCACGATACCACCGGCCAGAGTTCGAGTCCTTCTTCAACAAGACCTTTGTGTTGGGCCTCCTTCATCAGGGCTACCACTCTCTGGACAGGAAGGATGTAGCCATCCTGGACTACATTCACAACGGCCTGAAGCTGATTATGAGCTGTCCGTCGGTGCTGGATCTCTTCAGCCTCCTGCAGGTAGAGGTGTTACGGATGGTGTGTGAGAGACCGGAGCCGCAGCTCTGTGCCCGACTGAGCGACCTTCTGACCGACTTCGTGCAATGCATCCCCAAAGGGAAATTGTCCATCACGTTCTGTCAACAGCTGGTTCGAACGATAGGCCACTTCCAGTGCGTGTCCACTCAGGAGAGAGAGTTGCGGGAATATGTCTCCCAGGTGACAAAAGTGAGTAACTTGCTGCAGAACATCTGGAAGGCCGAGCCTACCACACTGCTGCCTTCTCTGCAGGAAGTTTTTGCAAGCATCTCTTCCACAGGTAAGGGTCATTATCTTTCAGAATATCTCATAAAAATTCAGTATATGTCTCTCTTGAACACACACATTCACACCATGTTTTCCTACTGCCCTGAAAACATTCTTAAGGGAGAGCAAATCCTAATACCCTTATCCCAGATTTATTCACATTCACTACCTTATTCAGGACGTCACCTCGTACTTTAAAAACAGGCAGCGTTCCCATTTTAAAGGTTGAGAACGTCCAGGTCTAAGACCTTTGGCACTAAACAAGTTGCTTAATTACCCAGCCTCTGCTCAAGTTATTTGGAATGCTTTGAGGATGACAGCTACTGCAGAAAGCTTCCATTCATTAGTGACTAATGGTAGCATGATGTTTACCATAGTATTTGTTGTTCGTGTCTCTCTCCTTTTGTAATGAGTTTTTCCCCCATTTTTATATTTCCTCATTTTTGAATTAATGGATTATGCAATTTATTACTGGATTATCCCAGTTAACTATGAAGTTTTTAAATACTGACATTTTTTGTCTACAATATCTAGTAGACAAAGGAGGGATACAGATAGAATGAGGGAAGGAAGAAGAGTACGAGGATTTAAATATTTGTTTTAGTGCCCACGAACTGCATTCTCAGAAAGCAGAGAAGGGTCACATGATACTTGCCTAGAAAATGCTTTCTCGCCCAGGAATTTTACCAGTACCTCTACCTTCCTTGTTCTGTCTTAGACCTTTCAGGTTTGAATAGATTCAAAACCATGTTCATTTCCGCTCTACTTGGTACAAGCATTCTCCTTCATTTATACCACCAGCGGGGACTGTCTGGCTGTTCAGATTGAACTTGTGAGGGACGTGTCCTCTTTTTATCTTAAGTACCAGAAGTAAAGGTGGAGTTTTATCAAGCGTTCTATGTTCTGATGAATTTAATGTATTTATGAAAGAATTACAAACGATGTATTTGCAGTATCTGAGTTGGTTTTTCTTTTCTTTTTGTAATTTTACTTCTATTGCCTGTGTTGTCATAACTGTTAGGTTCCTACCAAATTTTTTCAACTGTAGCAATAAAGGTGCTTGTCTTGGATTTGCTTAATTGGTATCCAGTTTAAGCAAAGTCTCCCCAAAAGTCACCTTAATTTCTACTTTAAGAGATTTTTAAAAATCTTCCTTAGAGCGATGTAATGATGAATAGTTTTAAGTTATTCTGGAGGGTCTGAAGCGGGAGTTGAAATGATACTTAAGTGCCCCCAAAAGTCACCTTAATTTCTACTTTAAGAGATTTTTTTAAATCTTCCTTAGAAAGATGTAATGATCAGTAAGTTTTAAGTTATTTTGGAGGGTCTGAAGTAGAAGTTGAAATGATACTTTATATAAGTTTCTTTATATTTCCTTTCTGATTAGTGATTTACAGGTTAATATTTCAGTGCAACAATAAGTCGATAGATTATGAAAAATTTAAAGTAACTTATGGACTAACCATAGCAATATATTTTAGTATTCTGTCTATAGTAATGAGTGATCATTGCTGTTCACCCTTAATCTTTCATTCCTGTAATTTAACATTCCTTGTAAATTAGAGTCTACGCATGAGGGTGTAGCATAATAATCCTTCCTAATTAACACCTTTGCTGCAATTACTTTTGTTTTTTTTGTAAAGTGTTGTTCTTTTTAAATACTTGAACGTACTTGCCATGTTTCCTTTTCTTTTTAATTAAAAAAACAGATGCATCATTTGAACCTTCTGTAGCATTGGCAAGTCTTGTGCAGCATATTCCTCTTCAGATGATTACAGTTCTCATCAGGAGCCTTACTACAGATCCAAATGTAAAAGATGCAAGTATGACCCAGGCCCTTTGCAGGTACTTCTTCATGACACTATTAATGGTAATTGTAGATTGGGGAAGAGGAAATACTTTGTATTTTGTGAGTAATGAAAAACTTACGAATGTTTAAAACTAAAATCATAGAATGACATATGTAAATATTCTCCAAATAGATTGGAATTGTTTACCTTATAGCGTTGACAGGCATCCTAATAATTCACAAATCTATTTTCAATTCAACTTTTTAATTCCCAAAATATACACACATATATGCAGATGCTGATTGGATTATCAGTATACAGTATTTCACTAATTTCGTTGCTCATCATTGTTTCCTGCAACCTATTTTTCTTCGTTTTTTTTTTCTTCTTTAGTAAGTATACACTTTACTTTCTCTCTTAACCAGGCTCAGTGTGTAATACACTGTTTGCCTTTGCCTGTTTGTATTTTTTTTCTTTCTCAGTTTTAAATCAGTTTCTCAGATTTGGCAAGATACAGAATTCTAATTTGATAACCGTTTTCTCTTAGCATTTTAAAAATAATACTGTATTACCTTTGGGCATCTATTGTTGCCGGTGGGAAGTCACCTGTCAATCTGACTCATTCCTTTGTGAGTAGTCAGCTTTTCTGGAAACTTTTATGTTCTCTTTATCCTTAATGTTCTATAATTTTTTTCTTACATTACTAGGTATAATCTTAATATTATTTGCCCTTCTCAGCACTTTGGCACTTTTATTCAGTCATTCATTCATTTATTCAAACCACACTTATTGAGTACTTACCATGAATGCCAGGCAGTGTTCAAAATGTCCTCAAACAAACTGATAAAAATATCTGCCTTATAGGCTTACATTCTACTTGGGGACGCAGACAGTAATTTAATAACACACTTCATTGATTCCAACATGTCTTCTAATTTCAAAGATGTTTAAATGTAGAAATGCCCAGTCATTCGTGTCCTAGTTACATTGGCATGACTTTTCTTGCCTTGGTGGTACATAAGCTAATTATGCATCTTAAAATTGAATTTGTTTTTGATTTGATTAAATATAATAAGTAAAATAATTTAGTACGTTAGATAGTGATACATGTTTGAAAAAAAGCAGACAGAAAGAGGGATAGGAGTAGACAGGAAGGGGGACAGATTGTGGGGAAGTGGTTTGCAATTTTAAATAAGATGGCTGAAGAAGTCTTCACTAAGGTAACCATGAAGTGAAGACATGAAGGATGTGAAGAAGCAAACCTGTGGATATCTGAGGGGAAGAATATCAATACTGTTTTATAGTTCACTAATTTTCTCTTCAAAGGTGCTCATCTGTAGAGCTTACTTACTGAGTTTCTTTATTTCAATGACTATTTTTTTCTAATTGAGTTTTTTGTATTTTTCTGTTCTTATTAAATACCTGACTGTTTTTGTTTTTTAATTCTTTTCCTGTGTGTGTGTATATTAAGCACATTTAAATACAGTATAAGGATTTGGACAAAAGGGTTTCTGTGCTTCTGTTATAAAATTATTATTATAAGGTAACATATAAACTGAGGTATTCATATTGAGTTCTCAGCTGCATTTGTACTAACTTCACTCTCTATAACACAAACTCTAGGGACTTTGATTTTCTCCACCTTATCCCCCTTTTCACTTCATTGTTTAAAAAGGTCTTCCTCTTCTAGCATTTCTCCTTTCTTCTTGTGCTCTTAAACATAATTGAATCAATTTATCTGTAACTTTTACTTCCAGTTTCATAGTGTTCATTTCTTCTTTGACTTTCAGAAATTTGTGAAAGTGCTTTGTATGTATAAGAAAACTCTTATGTAAATGTTTTTCCTGTTGTGTGACCTCTGTCCCCATTGCTTTTAATTTATGATGATCCCCCTTGCTGTGTTTGATAATCTATTTTTATTCTCATCTCCTTGATATCTTTGTATTTATTGTTCTTGAAATTTCTTATCTGACACCATACTGTTAGGAATTTTTTTCTGTATCTATTCTTTTTATTTTCTTCCTTCCCATTATTATCATCACTATCAGTTCTGATCTGTATGTGGCTGACTTCCAAGTCTTTATGTAAAGTTCTCGTTGTTCATTTACTCTTAAGAAACTTACCTTATTCATCTCTTCATAATGTAACTCCTTCTGTGCCCTATTTAGCAGCAGCACACTTTTGTCAGTGTGACTGTAACAGCACTAAAGTGTCTTTCCCTTTGTGATGAATGTATTATAAGTTGTATTTCCTCCTAGTAAAACAGATGCAGAGAATTATAGATTTTACAGCTGGAAGTGAAATTAGAAATTAGTTGGTCCATCACTTTCATTGCATAGGGTAATAGTAGCAGATTTTCTTTACATGACATAAACTATTTAATACTCACCACAGTCTTTTGAAATAGGTACTGTTATTGGCCCCATCTCATAGTTGAGGAAACTGAGAGGTTAAATTGTTTACCCAAGCTCATTCAGGTAATAAACAGTGAATCCGGTATTTGAACTTAAATCTGGCTCCCGGTTATGAGATAGTCACCCATGAAGACACAAACCAGGGTAGTCAAGTTTCTCACGTAGAGCCACTCTCTTAGAGGCAGAACTTATCTTCATGGCCTGATATTGGTGTTTATTTTTTTCTCTTTTTTTACTTAAATTGACACTAATTCTAGATATCTGGTCACAAACCTATAAGCAATTTTCAACTCCATCCTTTCTTTCATTCCCTTTGATTAACATAATGAATAAGTCCATTGGATTTTTTCTTTAGGACATTTCTTAAAATGACGCTTATTCTATCCCCACTGCCCTGAAGAAATCAGACTTTCCTCGTTGCACAGTTTTTTAGTTCGTCTTTTTGCTAGCAGTGACTTACTTTTCTTATCTTAATCATCTGGACTCCTGATTTTTCTCTTTCAATCAAGACATTGTAGTGACTTCCACTACCTACTAAGATGAATTCATATTCCACTTCTTGGCATTCAGTCCTCTTAATTTTCAAGCCTCTTCAAAAACAGTTGTAGTACCCAATTTAGGAATTTTTTTTTCAAGATATATTTGGAAATTAATTTTTACCTATTTGTTTCTATGGGGAGTTGTACCCAGTTTTTGTATTACATTTCCAGTATAGCCTGCGTGATCCTATTTACCCATAATCTACCTGAAGTAATTACTCTTATATAGAAAATGTAACTGAAAGGGATAGTGATATTTATTTTTACCATCCTCCTCCCACTTTATACCTCCCCATGCACTATACTTTCCCAAACATAGCAGTGATCATGTTTACAGTCATTTTCTATAATCCATAGAAATGCAAATGTAAATCTAGATACCATACCAGGACCAAACAGGTAACATTAAAATATGAAATAGGCCAAGTATAAGTTAAATGATAGGAAATGGGATACATAAGTACCTTCTAAAAGAGAAAACTGATCATGAACTCCAGTTGTCTGTTGATACAAGGAAATTGGAATCCAGTCTTGTTTGATTTTTCAAAAGAAGCCTGAAATCCAGTTTTCTATGTGAAATTTCCCAATGTTTAAAACATTGGGACAAATAAAAGGGAAGGCTGCCTATAGCCCGCAAGCTGCCATGTAAAAGTGGAAATTGGTGTTATTCTCCATAAATTACAATTAAAGCAAGACAATTATGGTGTCTTTCATAATTTTGCCAGTTTTACTGTTATGATTTTAAAGTTGCATGTATTTTTCTTTAGCTATATAAAGAAATGCTTTCATTTAGTTAATAAATTTGAGTTCCTACTCAGTGCCAGGCATTAAGTGCTGGGAATCCAAAGATACATGAAAGATTACTGCTGTCAAGCTCACAATCTAATGGAGGAGATAGGTCGTGGAGTACGTAAATAACAAGTATATAGTTAAATGTTATTTAAATAGTAAGATATTAAATCAGTATACCAGGGTTAAAAGAAAGTGTCCTTAGAATTCAAATTGATAATCACTGATACATGGTGGATAAGATTCCTGTAGTTAACCATAAAAATAGTTTATCCTGCAGTGTCTGCCTGTACCGGAGAAGAAACAGACATGTGCAAGTCCAATCAAATTGAAACAGAACTGGAATATAAAGTGTGGCAAAAAAAACATGACATTCTGTCCTGGCAGAGCTTAGTTTAAATGCCAGTACTATTTGTTTGATAATTGTGTGCTTGTTGACAAATTTCTTAACTTTTCTTTCCTTTTTAAGGACAGAAACCATACCTTATTGTTATATTCTCAGCACCAAACACAGTACCTGCTATATAATACACAAATCTTTATTTCATGAATGCTTTCTGACTTAGTCTGTTTGGGCTACTGTAAAAAAATACCTTAGATTGGGTTATTTATGAACAATAGAAATTTATTTCCCACAGTTCTGGAGGCTGGGAAATCCAAGGTCACCATGCCTGGCTAATTTTTGTATTTTTAGTAGAGATGGGGTTTCACCATGTTGGCCAGGCTAGTCTTGAACTTCTGACCTCAGGTGATCCAGCCGCCTTGGCCTTCCAGAGTGCTGAGATTACATGCGTGAGCCACAGCGCCCAGCCTTCAGTTGCTTTCTGAAAGAGTTGTACCAATCTTCATTGTGGTAGAGATCTAACTTTAGGTAGTTTCTCTATCAGATCCCATATTACTTTTTTGTTTTTTCTTTTTTCATTAAATTGGTCAAGCAGATTTGGTGTGTGGTGAGGGCCTTTTCCTTTAGATGGAGCTTTCTGTGTGTCCTCACGTGGCAGAAAGAGCAGGGGTGCCCCCTTCAGCCTCTAATCCCAGTCACTAGTCACCTGACAAAGGCCCCACCTCTTAATACCAGCACATTGGCGATTAGATTTTAACATATGAATTTTGGAGGGACACAAACGTTCAGACCACAGCAGCTTCTGATCTGTATAACATCTGATACGAAGTTTATTTATAGGTGGTCCAGAGATTGGCATACATGAAATAAGGTAAAGAATGGAAGCTTTTGAGATGTAAAGGCAGAAACGGAAAGGATGAGAAAAAGGCTGGCTGAGTAATGAAGGATAATGAAAAGCCACGGCCAAGTGGAATTTTCTACTCTCTGTGCTCTCACCCTCTCTCAGTACTCTCTTTAGACTGAGCCAAAGGGAGTTCTGGCCTTGAGACCTGTATTCTGGTGAGCCCTGTCTGGTTCTTCTCTGACAGGGTGACTTCCCATGATGCAAATAATCCACAGAGCCCAGATGTACTCACACATACCCTGCCTCTAGATTACATCTTTTTTATGTCCATATTTACATATATGTATTCACATGATTTTCTTTTAAACTAAAATTGTTTTTTTAAAAAAACTGCACTGGTATGTTTTTTCCGTCTTAATTCAACAATTTCTCAGCTCTTTCCATTTTAGATTCCTTATGGATAGATTCATGTACATCTATCTTATTATTTCAAGCTCTATATAGTGTTCCATAGTATCAGTACCATAGTATCTTTAAACATTTCCTTATTGACAATCATTTAGGTTGTTTGCAGTTTTTCTATACCATAAACAGTGCTACAGTGAATGTCCTCTGTACACAAATGCAAGTGTGTCTCTGCTTTGCTACTCTGTATAAGTAGAATGGCCACAACATTTTATGAGAATCACTCCAACAATAATTGGAAGATATGGAATAGCTGTCAAGGACTACGTTAATGACTTGTAACCGTCATTGCTGGAAAGGCCAGAAAAACAAGAAAAGAAATAGAATTTGTGTAGAGAATAGAGGGAACATACACATAACTTGTAGTTAACCTGCATTTGGACTGGGACCACTCTTAATATCCGAATGGACATTTTAATCTTAAAAGCAAAAACCTTAATAAAAATAACATTCCAGTGTTAATGTAGATAGTTATATAACACAATTGTTGTGAAAATAACCGTATCAATGAAGATGTCAGTCCTTCGGCCAGGCGCAGTGGCTCACGCCTGTAATCCTAACACTTTAGGAGGCTGAGGTGGGCAAATCACTTGAGGCTAGGATTTCAAGACCAGCTCAGGCAACCCCCTTGGCAAAACCCCAGCTCAGAAAATACAAAAATTAGCCAGTTGTGGTGATGCACACCTGTGTAGTCCTAGCTACTCAGATGGCCGAGGAGAGAGGGTCGCTTGAGCCTAGGAGACGAACTTTGCAGTGAGCCGAAGTAATGCTGCTGCACTCCAGTCTGGGTAACAGAGCGAGACTGTGTCTCAAAAAGAAAAAAGATGTTAGTCTTTTTAACATAGTAGTTGTTATTTTAGTAATGTATTTATGTCCTTAGTATTTATATTTGCATTTTGTACAATCAAGGTATTTATTTATTGCCACGTGTATTAACATTTGGTGGAAAAGGGGCATTCACAGTATTTCCAGTGTTGTAGATTAATTCATTTAATCTTCACAACAGTGCTGTAAAATAAACATGTTTATGTATAATTTACAGGTGAGGAAACAGACACAGAGAGGTTAAATAACCTATATAGGTATTTAGGGTCCCCTAGCTAATAAATGGCAAATTGAGATTTTTAAACCAGTCACTTTGGCTTCAAAAACTCATTTTTCCCCCTTCTATTTTCTTAGTATATAATCCCAAAAATAGGACTACTAGGTCAAATTATATGAACATTTGCTTCAGTTGCTTTCTTTTTTTTTGGAGACGGAGTCTCGCTCTGTTGTCCAGGCTGGAGTGCAATGGCATGATCTCGGCTCACTGCAACCTCCGCCTCCCGGGTTCAAGCCATTCTCCTGCCTCAGCCTCCCGAGTTGCTGGGATTATAGGCATGTGCCGCCATGCCTGGCTAAATTTTGTATTTTTAGTAGAGATGGAATTTCACCATGTTGGCCAGGCTGGTCTTGAACTTCTGACCTCAGGTGATCCAGCCACCTTGGCCTCCTAGAGTGCTGAGATTACAGGCGTGAGCCACCGTGCCCATCCTTCAGTTGCTTTCTGAAAGAGTTGTATCAATCTTCATTGTGGTAGAGCTCTAACTTTGGGGAGTGTCTCTGTTAGATCCCATATTACTTTCTTTTTTTTCCACTAAACTGGGTTGGTATTCAAGAAAAGCACCCATTAGTGCAAAATGAGGCCTTTACAATATTTACAGACTTAGTGCTCTTTTATATATTTGAAGTTTCTTTTTGTTGTCTTTGTATAGTAGGATTTTGAAAAAGATAAAGATACCTCTTTCACAATTCAAAATATAGGCTTTTTAAACAGTACATTTCGTATTAGACTATACTCACCAGGAAGGAGGAATCTTGGTTCATATTCATATATCTTAGTTCAGATTACATTTTGGCTGCTCTTTTTAGAGTAAATTTGCCTAATAAATTCTTGATGCAGGTTGAGCATCCCAAATTTGAAATGTTTGAAAATCCAGTACTTTTTGAGTGCTGACATGATGCTCAAAGGAAATGTTCATTGGGACATTTCAGATTTCAAATTTTTGGATTTGAAATGCCCAACAAGTAAATATATAATGCAAATAATTGAAAATCCAAAGCACTTCTGGTTCCAAACATTTCAGATAAGGAATACCTAACCTGTGCCACTATATAGCATAAATTTTAAGTTTTGCATTTATGCAAAATAATTTATTGGAAATTATTTTTATGGAAATATGTTGAATAGGAGAAACTATCAGTTTACAAGATTGGAAACTCCATGAGAACAAGCACCTGTTACATTCACTTCTACATCTTGGTCAGTGCTTTTCCCCCGCAAATTCAGTAAATGTTTATTAACAAAGTGAGTGGTTATCTACTGTAACTCTTGTTATCTCTAACTAAATGAAAATATTTTCAATAATGATTGTTTCGTTTTCCTTCAATTTCAGAATGATTGACTGGCTATCCTGGCCATTGGCTCAGCATGTGGATACATGGGTAATTGCACTCCTGAAAGGACTGGCAGCTGTCCAGAAGTTTACTATTTTGATAGATGTTACTTTGCTGAAAATAGAACTGGTAAGTGGGAGTGTGGAAATCTATTAGAATATATAGACTCATAAAATCAATATTTTTATCTTTGGGTGGTATCCTTGAAAGCATCTAATTTTGAGTATGTTATTGTTGGTTTGTTTGGAGTAACAGTTTTGAATAGGCTTTAGAAATTGTTTTAAATGTCATTTAAATATAAGTAATTACGCTGGGCATGGTTGCTGACCCCTGTAATCCCAGCACAAGGCAGGCAGATCGATTCAGGCCAGGAGTTTAAGACCAACCTGGCCAACATGGCAAAACTCCGTCTCTAGTAAAAATACAAAAATTAGCTGGGCATGATGGTTCATGCCTGTAGTCCCAGCTGCTCAGGAGGCTGAGGCACGAGAACCACTTGAATCTGAGAGGCAGAGGTTGTAGTGAGCCAAGATAGCACCACTGCACTCCAACCTGGACGACAGAGCAAGATTCTGTCTCAAAAAAAAAAAAAAAAAAGTATAAGTAATTAAAATAATTTTTTCATTTTCAAATATCCAATACAAAAACATTCTTTCCATTATCTCTTGGGTCCACCTAATCAAGCTTTTACCACCATTACTCTACCAAAATTACCTTTGACACCAGTGCTTTCCAGTGTTGCTAAACTCACAAGTCATTTCTCAGGCCTCTTCTCATTTGACCTGTCAGCAATATTTGACACAGTCAATCACTCCCTCTTTTTTCCAGGACATTATACTCTCCTGATTTTTGTCCTCCACAGGCATATCAGTCTCCTGTACTTACTCTAACTTTTAGAATGCCTTACAGTTCAGTCTTTGGTCCATTTTCTTCCCAGTGCATACTCACAGCATAGGTGTTCTATGGCTTTAAATAACATCTCTAATTTGATGACTGCCAGATTTATATTTTTTGTCCATTTTTCTTCCTTGAACTCCATATTCATGTATCCATCTGTCTTTACATGAATGTCAGATTCACTTTATCTACAATTTTACTCCCGATTTTTCCCTCCCAGACCTAGAGGCTCCTCTGTCCTTTCGCTTGCTCAAGCCAAAAACTTTGAAGCTATTCTTATCTTTTTTTTTATTCTCTCTCAGCCCATATCCTACAAATTCTACTGACACCACTTTTAGTATATATCCAGACAGAATCCTACCACCCTGATCCTACATCATCATCCCTTGCTGCAAGATTGCAGCAGCCCTTGTGCTCCTGTTCTTGGCCCCCCGTACTTATCACACAAGGTCCTATGTATTCTGGCCCACTTCTTCTCTAGTCCCATCTCCCACTGTTATTGCCTCGGTCTCTTGCTTCACTTACACTGCCCTTTTTTCTTCATCTGTAGCACACCAGCCTGAAGGCCTCAAGGCCTTCGCAATGCTGTTTGCCCTGCCTATAATGCTCTTATCCCAGGTATTTGCAAGGCTTATTCACTTCCTTCAGTTTTATAATTGGATATCACTTCTTTCATGAGGCATTTATTGAACACTATGTAAAACAGCAGATTTTTTTGCTACACAATGTTCTCTATTCATCATATCCTGCTTTAAATTTCTTAATAACACTTACCACCATGTGTTACTTTTTATTGTTTCTACCTACCCTCTAGATGGTAAACCCTGTATGATAGAGATTTTTTTTTTATTTCGATCCACTGTTGTAGCACTAGTTCCTAGAACTAGGACAAGTAATAGTATGTGCTTAACAAATATTTGTTGAGTGAATTGAATGAATGGTGGACTCGGGAGCTATCGCCTTGTAAACATAATTTGACAAATTTTTATTTCGTTGGGGAGTTTTAACAATTGGGTTAGGCCAATTACATTACCCTTGATCTCTGTCATGTTGTTATTTCCTCACTTCATCCTTCTCCCAAAGTTTAATTACATAAGTTTTGTTAGAACTTTCCAGGAAGGGGACATTCATGTAAGTAATTTGTAGCTCTAAGAAAATAACCACTGTTGGATTAATGATTTTCCTACAAATTCTTAAGGTGGTGTCTTGTCTTATTTTGAAGGTTTTTAATCGACTTTGGTTTCCTCTTGTGAGACCTGGTGCTCTTGCAGTTCTTTCTCACATGCTGCTTAGCTTTCAACATTCTCCAGAGGCGTTCCATTTGGTAAGTTGTGACATAAGCTTTGTACTTTGAAAAAGCCTCATTTTGAAAATTTAGTTTAATATTGAGTCACATTTTTATGTAGTAAAAATATTGCAAGTTAGTCCCAAATCTGTTTTCATGTAGCTTTATGATTTCCTAGAAAATGAGATTGTGAGATTTCCCTCTAAGAATATATTTTCGTGTCTTATTCAAACTACTCCACTTGCAACAACTGTTCACATGGAAGATGTCACTGATGGATGTCTGTTGCACAAATGAACAGTATAGAAGGATTAAAATGATTGAAAAGCACTGCTTTAGAATTTTGAAAGTATGAAAACACGCCAGTTTTTGCAAGCTTTTCATTCACTCTCAGCCTACATCGTACAAATCCTGTTGACCAACCTTTGAAATACATCTAGAATCCTGCCACTTTAAGCCAGCTGAATCATTGGCTTTTATTTGATTTCAATTATTTGATTATCAGTTACTGCAGATGAGAAATGACAAATTGTAATTTTGGTCAACTGTCCATTTACCACCGTAGGGCATCATAGGAAAACAGTGCCCTTGTGTGGTTACTTAATTCTTCCAAAGTCTAATCCTGTTTTATAGGACTAGAAACTCATTGTCAATAAACCCACAATGGAAAAATCTTAGGAATACTGATTCACCATAACAAACGTCAGAGGAGACTAATGAAGTTCAGAATTCCAGTTGTTTTTATTTATCTAGAATATATTCACATAGGTTGCTCAATGTCTCATTTCCACTGAAGGAAAGTCCACAGGCTTTATAGTAAGTAAACCTTACTAGCACGTAATTACATTACACATTACCACTTAGGATGAGTGATTTCTGCAGTTAATTGCCTTAATTTTGGTGAGTTTAATCATCAAGCAATAACCTTATATATATATGTATAATAGAAAACAAAACTGGAACTAAGATAGCGGGTGTACTAGCAAAGTCTTCCAAGAAAAAAACATCAATTATTTGTCCTTGTCTTCAGGCACAATCATGTGTAAGACATTTGAGAAAAGGCTTTGTTTTCCACATTTTTTTTAACTTTTAGATTCAAGGAAACATGAAAGTTTGTTACATAGGTAAACTCGTGTCACATGGGTTTGTTTTACAGATTATTGCATTACCTAGTTATTAAACCAAGTACCCAATAGTTATCTTTTCTGCTCCTCTATCTCCTCCCACTCTCCCCGCTCAAGTAGGCCTCAATGTCTATTGTCCCCTTTTTTGTGTTCATGAGTTCTCACCATTTTGCTCCCACTTACAAGTGAAAACATGGGGTATTTGGTTTTCCATTCCTGGGTTAGTTTGCTAAGGATGATAGCCTCCACCTTCATCCATATTCCCGCAGAAGACATGATCTCATTATTATGGCTCCATAGCATTCCATGGTGTATATGTACCACATTTTCTTTATCCAGTCTGTCACTGGTGGACATTTAGATTGATTCCATGTCTTTACTATTGTGAATAATGCTACAGTGAATTCACGTGCATGTATCTTTATGGTAGAATGATTTATATTCCTCTCAGCATATACCCCGTAATAGGAATGCTGGGTCAAATGCTAGTTCTGCTTTTAGCTCTTTGAAGAATCACCATAGTACTTTCCATAATGGTTGAATGAATTTATACTCCCACCAAGTGTATAAGTGTTCCCCTTTTTTTTGAACCTTGACTTTTTAATGATAGCCATTCTGACTGGTAGGAAGATGGTAGCTCATTGTGGTTTTGATTTGCATTTCTTTGCTGATCAGTAATATTGAGCTTTTTTTCATAAGCTTGTTGGCTGCATATATGTCTTATTTTGAAAAGCATCTGTTCATGTCCTTTGCCCACTTTTTAATTGGGTTTTTCTCTTGTAAATTTGTTTAAGTTCCTTATAGATGCTGGATATTAGACCTTTGTCAGATGCATAGTTTATAAGTATTTTCTCCCATTCCATAGGTTGTCTGTTCACTCTGTTGATAGTTTCTTTTGCTGTGCAGAAGCTCTTAAGTTTAATTAGACCCCGTTTGTCAGTTTTCGCTTTTGTTGCAATTGCTTTTGGGGTCTTTGTCATGCAATCTTTGCCCATTCCTATGTCCAGGATGGTTTTGCCTAGGTTGTCTTCCAGGGTTTTTATAGTTTGGGGTTTTACATTTAAGTCTTATCCTTGATGTAACAAACATCGATACAAAAATCCTCAACTTGCAAACCAAACCCAGCAGCACTTCAAAAAAGCTAATCCATCATGATCAAGTAGGCTTCATCTCTAGGATACAAGGTTGGTTCAGCATACACAAATCAATCACATAAACAAATAAAGACAAAAACCACATGGTTATATCAATGGATGCAGAAAAAGCTTTCAATAAATTCAACCTGCCTTCATGTTAAATACTCTCAATAAACTAGGTATTAGAGGAACATGTCTAAAAATAATAAGAGGCATCTGTAACAAACCCACAACCAACATTATACTCAATGGGCAAAAGCTGGAAGCATTCCCCTTGAAAACCAGCACAAGACAAGGATGCCCTCTCTCATCACTCCTAATCAATATAGTACTGGAAGTCCTAGCTAGAGCAGTCAGGCAAGAGAAAGCAATACGGGACATCCATATAGGAAGAGAAGAAGTGAAACTATTTGTAGATGATATGTTTCTGTATCTAGAAAACCCCATAGTCTCAGCCCAAAAGCTCCTTCAGCTGATAAACAACTTCAGCAAAGTCTCAGGATACAAAGTTAATGTACAAAAATCACTAGCATCCCTATACACCAACAGCAGCCAAGCTAAGAGCCAAATTAGGAAGGCAATCCCATTTACAACTGCCACAAAAAGAATAAAATACCTAGAAATACAACTAAGCAGGGAGGTTAAAGATCTCTACAATGAGAAATACAAAACAGTGCTCAAAGAAATCAAGAAGACACAAACAAATGGAAAAACATCCCATGCTTATGGATAGGAAGAACCAATATCATTAAAATGGCCATACTGCCCAAAGCAATTTATAGATGCTGTGCTCTTTCTATCAAACTACCAACGACATTCTTCACAGAACCAAAAAAACACTATTTTAAAGTCATATGGAACCAAAGAAGAACCTGAGTAGCCACATCAATCCTAAGCAAAAAGAACAAAGCTGGAGCCATCACATTACCCAGCTTCAAATTATACTACAGGGCTACAGTAGTATATTAAAACAGCATGGTACTGGTATAAAAACAGGCACATAGACTAATGGAACACAAGAGAGACTCCACAGACAAGGCTGCACACCTATGACCATCTGATCTTGACAAAGCTGTCAACACAAGCAGTGGGGAAAAGGCTTCCTCTTCAATAAATGGTGCTTTGACAACTGGCTAGCCATATGAAGAAGATTGAAGCTGGACCCCTTCCTTACACTATATACAAAAATCAACTCAAGATGTTTTCCAAATTTCTAGGAAGGAGATTCTCTGACATAACTTTATCATTCATTCTAATGTTTATTGCTCACATTGAGGACATTCCTTAATCTCGTAGTGGGTAATGTGGCAGTTAGATCACCTGTAACTCCAAATAACTCACTAAAGAACTTGGGCTTAGGAGTTGCTAAGTATGAGCAATAATCTGGAATCAGCATCATAGTTCATTATACATTGAGAATATCTTAGGGCAAACCAAGGTTGATGTTAGAATATGTGGTGTTATGGGTCAGGTTGCTTTTCTCACGCATTTTACCCAGTGGAATAAATTTATTTTAAACAGATACTATGGCAGATAGTAATAATGGAGAAAGAAAAAAAATCAAAGCTTCTAATTAAATAAGTTTTAAACATTTCCTCAAAAACTTTAGTATTATAATAATGTCAAAAAACATTTAGTTTCACTTATTCAAAAAAATCAACTTTCACACATTTAGAAGATAATAGCCTGCTTGGAAGTTTATTTGTATAACTGTGAAAGACCAAGTCTTATTTCCATGTCGTGATAGTGTTGACCATTTAGGATATGCTAATAGACAACCATATAACCTGATTACAAAGACCTAATCTGACAGATTTGAAATTATAAATTTAATAATCACTTCTAAAATTTTTGCCTCTTCTGTCTCCCTTCACCTTTGAGAAAACAAAATAATTTAGATTTCTGACTTTTAGCAAGAGAATCTCTGAGAAATGTGGCTTTATGCGACAGAAGTGTAATTCATATTTGCTTAGAAATGTAAAGGTGATAGCAATAGAATGAACTCACTAGGAACTGGTAGTTTTATGGTCACATCAATGCCTGTGATGGAGGTAAGATAAAAGAAGGTAGTGCAAAAGCTACAGTGTGATTTAAGCACAAATGTAAAGCAAGACAGAGCAGAATGGAAATAGCACTGTGTTGTAAGACTATGATTGTTCTTTTTGTGGGAAGGAAAGGGAATTGATGAATTATTACTATAATTGCTGTTATTTCTGTTTGATGGTATGACCCTAATAGAGTTATAACTTTGTTTTTTACCATGAGTTAGCAACCCCAAAATGTTCTAGAAATAGAACAGAAAATACCTTTTACCATAAGAAGTGTACATATGTAGTATTAGATTATAATTAAAAATTAATTGAAAAAATATAGTATCAGGCTAATGGAAAGAGCCATGTCTGTAAAATAGAAGTTGTTTCATTTTAATAACCTCCTAAAGATATGATTGGCTCTGGATTGATTGCCTTTTTAGTTTAATTTTACAATGAAAGAAGATGGTTGTGCTGATGATCAATATTAACAATATTCTATATGTTTATGAGCAATGATCATTGTAGATTTCACTTTTATTTTTAGCCCCAGTTCTTTAAAACTAACAGAAGTTTCTGATGCCCTTTATTTTTAGAACCATCTCATCTTTTGGAGGGTGGGAAATGGGATTCGTTAGTAAGAATAGCCACTCTAACGTAAGGCATGGTCTCTGTGCTTATCTAAAAGTAATCTTATTACCTGAGCTGCAATGTTAGTTACACATGTAAAGATTTTCTTGAAGTAGACTTTAATGTGCAGTGTACTTTTAATTCTTTCAAGTAGAAAATTTTAAATTCACACTAGATGGAGCTCTTTAGCTAATTCTAGGATTGTTTTTCAAACGTTTATTCCCATTGAATGATCTGATAAATATAATAACCCTAACAATTTCAACCTACAGCGTTTTTCAGAATGGCAGCAATGACTAAGATTCCTATTTTATGCCTTAGTTTATCTTTTAGATGGTGTGTAAGGATGAGGAGAGGGGTCATATATGGGATTACAGTCATATGTGACTTCGAAAACTAGACTTACCTTGATATTTTAGAAATGTTTAACTTAATAAAAAAAAACTCTGTGACTGAACATACAGAAAAGTATTTGCCGATCATATATTGTTTGTATTCTGTTTCTAGGCTAGAGAATGTGTTACCAATTTGTATAAAGTCAGCACTGTTTATCCTTTTTTTCTCTTCAGATTGTTCCTCATGTGGTTAATTTGGTTCATTCTTTCAAAAATGATGGTCTGCCTTCCAGTACAGCCTTCTTAGTACAATTAACAGAATTGATACACTGTATGATGTATCATTATTCTGGATTTCCAGATCTCTATGAACCTATTCTGGAAGCAATAAAGGTATGATGATAGTTGTACCAATATTTGTGGAGTTGTATTATATTAGTAAGGTGAAACATTCTTATAACCAGCTACTCAATTTACGATTTTATGGTAATGTGCTTTTTGTTTGAAAAATGCAGTTAGAATCAGGTTTCATTTATGTTTAGGGAGTAACTGCTTTCTTGACTGCTGTCACCATTCTAAATTAATAACCATATTTCTTCATTTCTGCAGTGTCATCAATTATAAGACATATCTTTAAATTTATAATAGCTTTTTGGGAAATTTGTTTAAAAAGGAATGTTACGTTAACGCGTGCATCAGATTTGCACCCCAATATTAGAAGTGTTAAAGTATATGTAGAGTATGTCTTAGAATACAGGAAATGGAGTTTAATAAAATATTTGACTTTGATTTCTTCCCCTTTTTAATTCTTTTTTTTTTTTTTTTTTGAGACCGAATCTCGCTCTGTCACCCAGGCGAGAGTGCAGTGGTGCAATTTCTGCTCCCTTCAACCTTTGCCTCCCAGATTCAAGCAATTCTTCTGCCTCAGCCTCCTGAGTAGCTGGGACTACAGGCACCTGCCACTACACCTGGCTAATTTTTGTATTTTTAGTAGAGACAGGGTTTCACCATGTTGGCCAGGCTGGTCTCAAACTCCTGACCTCAAGTAATCCGCCTGCCTCGGCCTTCCAAAGTGCTGGGATTACAGGCGTGAGCCACTGCATCTGACCTCTTTTTGAATTATATTTTTGCTGTGGACTGTTCATCAATGTTTAGAATCTTTACTTGAATTATTTGTGGAGTTATACTGTGTTTCAATTTTATATGTAAATGGATCTAAAAAGCACTTTTTTTTTTTGGACAGTTGTGCTTTGTTGCCCAGGCTGAAGTGCAATGGCATGGTCATGGCTCACTGCAGCCTCTACATCTTGAGCTCAAGTGACCCTCCTGCCTCAGCTTCCCAAGTAGCTGGGACTACAGGTGCACACCACCACGCCAGGCTAATTTTTTATTTTTTGTAGAGAAGGGGCCTCACTGTAATGCTCAGGCTGGTCTTGAATTCCTAGGCTTAAGTGATCCTCGTCCTCCCAAAGTACTGGGATTACAGGCATGAGCCACTGTGCCTAGCCTAAAAAGCACTTCTGTTTGTGTTGAAGACTGGATCACAATAAACATACTTTCCTCTCAGTAAACTTACTGCATAATCAGTGTATAGCAAAAGAATTGGAGAACTGAACTCAGCCAAACTTAATCAGAAATTATTAGAAATCAATCGTATTGGTGGTTTTTTGTTTTTTTGAGATCTGAATTTCAATATAAAGGTCTTATCTTTACTTCTGTATCTGAGATGGATTAAAAACAGTTCTTTTTACTGTATCATTAACTAAATCAAACTTATTTTGGTTGAGCTCAGAAAACAGACTGTTAAGCAATTAATGTATATTGCTGGTGTGACACTTTGACACTTCAGAAGTAAATTATGTACAGGAGCATTGTGGAGTGGATTTGATGGTAATATTAATCTCTTTCTACATTGTCACTGGATCCATAGATGATAGTTGCTGCACTTGTTAATTGATTGCCATTCTTTAGTTCATCAGAGTTTTTCATGTTGAAAATTCTGATAACTCATATAGGCTCAGAAGAAACAAGGGGCTCGCTCTAAGCCCAAAGAAAGCACTCTTAGCTGTCAACAACAACAAAAATTAGAAGATTGAAACTCCTTTAGAAAATGTTTGTTTGCTAAGGTCTAAGTGCCAGATGCTAATAGCAGTCCGGATAAGCCCTAATGATTTTACCAACTTCCCTTAACTCTCCAGTGCTCTGTTCATGCTTGAAATAATTTACACTTGAAATGTTATCTCATACTTCACCAAGTTGATAAGAAAAATCCGTATGTTGTAATAATTTTCTGTATGGGTAACATGAGATTAAGTTTTATTTTTCTTAAAGTTAAAGGTCATTGTGCATAGATGCTTTCATTTCTCATTTCTTAATTACTTTGCGATTTTATTTCTAAGGGTTAATACTGAGTAAATATTAGTATTTAATGAAAAGGAGACATTTTTATTACAAAATTTGAAAACAAATTGTTTGCTTATGTTTAACTGTGTGCTAAAATTTAAGTCTTCATTCTACTGCCTTTGAATAGCACTGCAGTTTATTCTCTGACCCCAAAGTTTTATTTTATTTTGCTGGCATGTAGAGAACATAAATAGTTGAAATGCGACTTGAATTTCCAGCTTTTGAGTATTTTTCAACTTGATAAACTCTGTTATTAGACAGTATTTATTTTTGCCATACAGTTAAATTTGATATTTTGATGACTAGCCAAGTACTACCAGTTACTTCAAAACTAAGTGGGGGGAAAGAAAGTTCAAATGTCAGTGTAAGAATCTTAATGCTGTTAATTAAACAACAAAAATAATTTTTACTTTACTTTTAAACTGTTTTTCTTCTGTATGGCCTGTAGGATTTTCCTAAGCCCAGTGAAGAGAAGATTAAGTTAATTCTCAATCAAAGTGCCTGGACTTCTCAATCCAATTCTTTGGCGTCTTGCTTGTCTAGACTTTCTGGAAAATCTGAAACTGGGAAAACAGGTCTTATTAACCTAGGAAATACATGTTATATGAACAGTGTTATACAAGCCTTGTTTATGGCCACAGAGTAAGTTTAAATTTGAATCTTTTCATTTTAACTGTAGAGGTTGATGCATGCTGATGAAATATAAGATGATAGAATTGTCTACACATTATTCCATATAAATGGCATAAATGTTAACTTTTATTGCCTTATTCAGAAATGAAATTGCTATTAGTGCTCAGAAACTATGAAAATGTTAACATTAGGCTGGGTGTGGTGGTTCACACCTGTAATCCCAGCACTTTGGGAGGCCGAGGCCGGTGGATCGCCTGAGGTCAGGAGTTCAAGAACAGCCTGGCCGACATGGCGAAACCCCATCACTACTAAAAATACAAAAACTAGCCAGGTGTGGTGGCGGGCGCCTGTAATCCTGGCTACTAGGGAGGCTGAGGCAGGAGAATTACTTGAACCCAGAAGGCAGAGGTTGCAGTGAGCCAAGATCCGTTCCATTGCACTCCAGCCTGGGTGACAGACTAAGACTCAGTCTCAAAAAAAGAAAAGGTAACATTAATTCTGCTTATTATTCATTGCATTTAAATGTCACGTTAAAGACATTACTCTGATGATTTTTTTTTTTTTTTTTTTTTTGAGATAGAGTCTCACACTGTCACCTGGGCTGGAGTGCAGTGGCGCGATCTCAGCTCACTGCAACCTCCCCCTTCCGGGTTGACGCCATTCTCCTGCCTCAGCCTCCCGAGTAGCTGGGACTACACGTGCCCGCCACCATGCCCAGCTAATTTTTTGTATCTTTAGTAGAGACGGGGTTTCACCGTGTTAGCCAGGATGGTCTGGATCTCCTGACCTCGTGATCCACCTGCCTCGGCCTCCTAAAGTGCTGGGATTACAGGCATGAGCCACCGCGCCCAGCTACTCTGATGATTTTTAACAGTGTAAAAGAAGGATTGATTGCACCTATTCCAAAGAGTTTAAGTGTGCTAGAGTACTTAACTGCTATTATCCTGTGAGACTAAAATTTTTTTAACCTGTATGTGTTTTGAGGGAAGTCATATATAATTTTATCTGCCCGTTGGTATTTTGTTGTCAGATCAACAACTTTGTTGCTGTTTAAGAAGTTTAAGTTCTGCTCTACCCTAGGGCAATAATTGCTGAACACCTATATAAACAGACATGTTTCTTTCCCCTCTTAAGAATTTTCTTTCAAATCCGTTTTCTTTTGCACCTAAGCAAATAGGAAATCAGAAGTTGTTAGTTATGTGAATGCTATCTGCAAAGGTACAAAATAATGATAAACTCTTCCTGAAGACAAAAACATGACTGAATTTTTCTCCTGAATACCAATAAAGTATTCACAGAACTTGCCCAAAGAGGTTTACAAATTGAGTTCTAACCTTTTCCAAGTTGTTACACCTGCCCAGAGGAATCTTAAACTATCAAATGTCGAATTTGGCCAGGCGCGGTGGCTTGCACCTGTAATCCCAGCACTTTGGGAGAGTGAGGCAGGTGGATCACGAGATCAGGAGTTCCAGACCAGCCTGACCAACATGGTGAAACCCCGTCTCTACTGAAAATACAAAAATTAGCCGGGCATGGTGGCGTGTGCCTGTAATCCCAACTACTCAGGAGGCTGAGGCAGGAGAATCACTTGAACTCGGGAGGCAGAGGTTGCAGTGAGCCAAGATCGCGCCACTGCCCTCCAGCCTGGGTGACAGAGCGAGACTCCATCTCACGAAAAAAGAAAGAAAGAAATGTAGAATTCGCTTTATTTTATTGTTGGGCCCCAGATTATAATACCAGCACTCAGGTGTTTTTGGTTTCGTTTAGCATTTAATTTTTTGGTTTGTTTATATTTGGAATTGTGAGAAATTTTTTTTTTTTTTTTTAATTTTTAGAAAATAGATATATCTTTAGACACAAGTGATACTAGGCATAAGACTAAAAGAATCCCCGTCTTACCATCAGAGGTAATCTAGTCCAGACATCTCCTTTTACAGATGACAGAGAAAACAGAAAACCAAAGCAGTTACAACAGCAAGAGCAAATAAAAGGTTATCTTTTGCTGAACAGTGGCCAATAATATTATCTTTGAATAGGAAGACAGCACATTTTATTTCTTAAGTAATATATGAATTCTTCTTCATAGTTTAAAAATAATTAAGTTTTATATAGAATAAAAAGCAGATATTCCCATTTCCAAAAGTAATTTTGTTAACAGTTTACATTGTTCCAGACCTTTTTTGGTACAGTTGCATGTTTGTATTTAATATGAAAGCAAATGCATTTTTTTAAAGAAAATTTGCAGAGAATCCTATTTATGTATTCTAGCCACTTGCTTTTATCATTTAATAATTTGTATTTGAAATGCTCCCATGTTGGGGCAATACAGATCTGTGTCATTCCCAGTAAATGTGTATGCCATCATTTTATTTATTAAATACTCATTAAATTAAACGGGTATTTAATAAATAATCCTTTAATAATGCTCCTATTGATGAATAGTAGGTTGTTTTGCTTATAATTAACATCTGTCTGCCCTTTACAGATATAGAGGATTTTTCTTTGAATATCCTCCATATCTTTGAATATCCTTTGAATATCTTTCAAATTGCTCTCCAGAAAAGCTGTAGCATTTTGAACTATGATACTAATATAAGATTGTACCTAGACCGTGTACCTTTAGCAGCAAATCAGCCTTTTTAATTTTTTGCCAATATGAAGAAAAATGCCTCTTTTAACTTGCATATCGCTGCTAATTACAGAGTTTTTTCCCTCTCTTATTTTTCTTCATTCATTTGTGTTTCTCTTCCAAATAACCTGTTCTTTTCTTTGTACATCTTTTTGTTGGGTCTTTTTTGTTTTCGTGTTGATTTATATATACTCTGGATGATCATCCTTTGCTACATGCTTTTTTCCAGTCACAATTCAAATTTGTGGGGTGTTTTATTTATAATTTTTTTATTTTATGTGTCCCAGTCTTCTACTTTTCATTTATAGCATCTGGACTTTTGAAGGCCTTTATCCTCTAAATTTCTTCTTTCTTTATTTTAAGTACTTCAGTAGTTTTGTATTTTATATCTAGCTCATTAGTCCTGTGGTATCTGTGATGGTGTATAATCTTATGTAACTTCATTTTTTACCAGATGGATACCCAGTTGTCCCTTTACTTTTTTTTTTTTTTTTAAAGTAGTTTATCATTTTCCCTTGCTGTACTCTGAATGACTTAAACTTTATAATGTGTTTTAATGACAGCATATTTTTTTATTTCATGAAGATTTGAAAGAATTTAAGTTGTTTACTTATGTTATAAATTAATGGCTTAATCTATTTCTATTTGCTAATCCAGAAAATAGAAATAACATATGATAGCACATAGTCTATTAGCACACTTTATAGTAAGTGTTAATTTATTGTCATTCTTCCCTTCCTTCTTTACTGTTAGATAGGTAACTTCCTCAGGAAAAGGGCCATAGGTAAATGAAGTTTTACTTTAAGGACAATAAATTCTTTTTTTTTTTTTTTTGAGACGGAGTCTCGCTCTGCCGCCCAGGCTGGAGTGAAGTGGCCGGATCTCAGCTCACTGCAAGCTCCGCCTCCTGGGTTTACGCCATTCTCCTGCCTCAGCCTCCCGAGTAGCTGGGACTACAGGCACCCGCCACGTCGCCCGGCTAGTTTTTTGTATTTTTTAGTAGAGACGGGGTTTCACCCTGTTAGCCAGGATGGTCTCGATCTCCTGACCTCATGATCCGCCCGTCTCGGCCTCCCAAAGTGCTGGGATTACAGGCTTGAGCCACCGCGCCCGGCCTTAGGACAATAAATTCTTGAACTAACTTGCTTTTAGCTTTTAAGAAATGCTTTTAAATGGCCAGACACAGTGGCTTATGGCTGTAATTCCAGCACTTTGGGAGGCCTAGGTGGGCGGATCATTTGAGGCCAGGAGTTCGAGACCAGCCTGGCCAACATAGTGAAACCCTGTCTCTACAAAAAATACAAAAATTAGCTGGGCACGTTGGCACGCACCTGTGGTCCCAGCTACTCAGGAGGCTGAGGCACAAGAATCGCTTGAACCTGGGAGGTGGAGGTTGCGGTGAACTGAGACTGCCCCACTGCCCTCCAGCCTGGACAACAAAAGGAGACTCTGTCTCAGAAAAAATTAAAAAAGCTTTTTAAAAATGCATGTGTGTGTGTGCACACATATACATAAATCATTATATTCTCTCTCAGTTTCAGGAGACAAGTATTATCTTTAAATCTAAATGGGTGCAATTCATTAATGAAAAAATTACAACATCTTTTTGCCTTTCTGGCTCATACGCAGGTGAGTGTGTTTGTGTGTATAGTATGTTTATGTTAACTGTGGTAATACTTATTAAACTTTACATTATACCTAACCTTTTTAACTGATGAAATAATATAATAGATATCTCATCCATACAACAAATACACTTAGAAATGCTAAAGAGATACTGCCTAAAATATCTAGATATTTTTCTATTTTCAGGATATGCCCTAAGTTTTTATATTTTTCTCTTGCTTCCCATTATTGTAGCTGAATATTATGCTGACCCATTGATCTAGAAATTTTTACAAAGAAAATATGATTTCCTATCCAATAAATAAGCTCCTTCATGAAGAATTATTTTTGAATGCATCTTTGTTTCCTGATACTAAATTAATAGATTTGTACAATAATGAGCAACTAAAATAATATTGTGGTGCCTGGGCTTTTTTCTCTTTTCTTATGTATACCCATTCATTATAACTAAAGATCTCTGCAGTTCTGTTTATCTGTTAAGTTCTAGAGCTTAAAATTTTGTGGTGATCTTTTATGTCCACACATTAATCCGGGGTCATTAATTTATGTTAATGGCACCAAGGTGGCCATATATAGTAAATATTCACATTTATTAAAAGACACTATATGCAGTCAATGGTAAGCATTAAAGGAAGAGTCTTGGTCAGGCGCCGTGGCTCACACCTGTAATCTCAACACTTGGAGGCCGAGGCGGGCAGATTACCTGAGGTCAGGAGTTTGAGACCAGACTGGCTAACATGGTGAAACCCCATCTCTACTAAAAATACAAAACTTAGCTGGGCATGGTGGCACATGCCTGTAATCCCAGCTACTCAGGAGGCTGAGATAGGAGAATTGCTTGAGCCCGTGAGGCAGAGCTTGCAGTGAGCCGAAATCATGCCACTGCACTCCAGCCTAGCTGACAGACCGAGCCCCTGTCTGGAAAAAAAAAAAAGAGTCTTTATGTTCAAAGAACTTTTAGTTTAGATTTTGAGCCTATACACATGAATTATATACATATCATTATTTATAATATATGTTATTTTTCTGGTTTTACTTTCATTGCCTTTATCTCACAGAGGTCTAAAGGAGTAGTAGTTAGGGCCAGAAGAAACAATAGGCTGAGAATTGGTGGGATTCAGTTGATGGGAATGCTTTTGTTTTCTTTCTACAAGCTGAGAAATATCACAGATATAACTTCTTAAATGGAAAGAATCTAGACAGGATTAATATGAGATGATAGTAATGGCCTATGAGTAGTTATATACTCAGATAATTGTATTATTCTTTATCTGGGGAAAGTATGTTCACAAATTAAATTTACCATATCAAGACCAAGGGAAATGAAATGAAAACTGTCTCCTTCCTCACTCCCTGTTGTTTCCTCGTAAATTGATTTTTGTGCTTTCTTTATCACTAGTCTGTATTTATTATGTATAAAATATATATGTTTATATGTATATGTAGGCAGATATATACTGTATTAACTTAAAATCTTAGGGGAAGTTTCTCTGCTCCTCCCAAGAGAAGAAAAATAGAAATTAAAAAGAGCCTGATTAAATTTCTGTCACAGTTGAGACTCTCTCTGGTAGCAGCCTGACAGATTATTTTAGGCAGATAGATTTTCTCATATAATTGAAAAGTCCTTTTATCTTATAATTAATAAAACAAACTTATTGAACATTTACATTTTTTTAGCCCCTGGTCTAAATCTTTTATGTCTTAATCATCAAAAACAGTCTATCATGTAATAAGGTATATCCCCATTTTACAGATGAAGAAAACAGGCTTACATTACCTGTTCAGGGTCATGCAAACAAGCAGCAGGATTGAGATATGAACCAAACAGCTCTGAAGCCCCTGTTTAACATAGGCTAAACTTCCTTCCTTCAGAATGCTGTAAACCCTTAATTTGGGTAAAATTTTTCTTAACTAAGAACTTCATTGTTACGAAGTTATGCCACAAATAATCAATGTCAAGAGAATTCCAAAGTTTCAACTTATAATCACATCTTTGAGATGCCTTTTCAGTTCTCTTTTGTCATGGCAAAATCTAGGATTTGAACCTGGATCGCTCTAGAGTCCACAATTTAATCACTAAACAGCTTCTATACTTAAAAAAAAAAAAAAAAAAAAAAAAATTAGCAAGGGTTTCTAACCAGTGTACTCACAATCTGCACATTTATGACGTATCTACTCAAGGAAATTTTCGCCTAAAGTAGGTATGCATGACTCTACTGTAGAGTATTTCCTTTATTACTTTGTTCAGAATACACACTAACAAAATATACATTAATCTTTTTTAGATTTGATTTTTATCAAAAAATTGTGGACTCAAACATGTGACTGTCGTAGAGGGATGATACTAGGAGCTTTATATCGAGAGTTAGACTTGGGTTCTACCTTAATGTCCTGTGCCACTCATTTAGCTGTATGACCCTGGACAAGTCACATGTTTCTCTAGCTCTCAATTCTGCTCTGCAGAGTGAGCAATTATGACTAAAGATTACCTAACTTTATTTCTAAATAATTTTATCTGTCCCTGAGTTGCCATGTCCGGCCCTTTTGGCTGATGCGATGTTAACTGTAAATAATCTTTATTAGACACTGTATATTAAGATTTCAGTTACTTGGTTCATGCTATAAGAATCACTTCCTTACATTTTCTCAATTGCTATTAAAAGAGGGAAGCATACGCACCTCGGATATTCTTTGAGGCTTCCAGACCTCCATGGTTTACTCCCAGATCACAGCAAGACTGTTCTGAATACCTCAGATTTCTCCTTGACAGGTAAAATGTATTCTTAAAATTGTGATTTGAGTGTTGTCTTTCATAACAGTTTAATTCTACTTAATATTGCTTTTACCTTTAAAAACATATTTCAAATGTTACTTTTTAAAATACTATTGCATTTCTTGTATGTTTTTTATATATTGTTTTTAATTGGTTTTCCTTTTTTGAATTTTCTTCCTTGAGACCAATTGTTTTCAAAGTGTGATACAGGGACCCCTGCGGGTTCCCAAAACACTTTCAGGAGTCTGTGAGGTCTTCTCTTTCCCAACAGCGTAACTGTGTGAGGCCACATTTTCTTTCTATGTTTCATCCAAAAAACATATAACAATAGAATGCAGAGAAGATATGAGGCTCCAGCTGTCTTCTATTAAGCCAGATACTTAAAGTATTTGCAAAATGTAAAACACTGCCATTCTTACTTTTTTTTTTTTTTGGTTTTAGAAAATACAACTTTTTCATTTTTAAAATGTTACTAATATTAAATAATGGGTTTATTATTGTTTGTTAAATGTTAATATTTTATTTTCTCAGTTCTGACAGTAAATATCAATAGATACAACCCATATAAAGGAAAGCTCTTTGTTTTTTAATTATTTTTAAGAGGTTAAAGGGGTCCTGGCACCAAAAAATTTGAGAACCACTCCTTTAGACCAGTTCATAATTGTATGGGTTTGGTATATTTTATTGTCGCCTGACCACTTAATTAATAAAACCTGTTATCATCTGTATCTCCCTGTCTTTGTTCTGCTCTGTGGAATAACTAGTAAAGTTAGTTGGGCGCGGTATGTGCAGCCTTCCTTCCATTCAGCTAAGAATCTATTCAGTAGTTTATTTGTGCCTGACTTTCTATGAGATGTCAGGAAGACAGAGATATATAAGACAGTTAAGGGACGTTTATAATTAACTGCAATGTAATACGTGCTCTTAAGTAGCAGTATGAAGAAAGTGTAATGAGAATATAGAGTAGAAATAGCCACCCAGCTTTCTTCCTGCATTCTCAAGCTATTCAATTTTCTTTTAATTAAAACAGGAAAACCTGATTTGTTTACATTAAACATTAAATTTGATTAAAATAGTTTATAGAAGCCACTAATATTTTTAAATAGAAATGACATTTGAAGTTAATTTAAGTAGCTATATAATGATATCCTCTCCTGCAGGCTCCATGAAGAAGAAAAGATCTTGAAAGTTCAGTCCTCACACAAGCCTTCTGAAATTCTGGAATGCAGTGAAACTTCTTTACAGGAAGTAGCTAGTAAAGCAGCAGTACTAACAGAGACCCCTCGTACAACTGACAGTGAGAAGACTTTAATAGAAAAAATGTTTGGAGGAAAATTACGAACTCACATATGTTGTTTGAACTGCAGGAGTACCTCACAAAAAGTGGAAGCCTTTACAGATCTTTCGCTTGCCTTTTGTCCTTCCTCTTCTTTGGAAAACATGTCTTTCCAAGATCCAGCATCATCACCCAGTACACAAGATGGTGGTCTAATGCAAGCCGCTATACCCAGTCCTTCAGAAGAACCAGTAGTTTATAATCCAACAACAGCTGCCTTCATCTGTGACTCAGTTGTGAATGAAAGAACCACAGGCAGTCCTCCTAATGAGTTTTACTGTTCTGAAAACACTTCTGTCCCTAACGCATCTAACAGGATTCTTGTTAATAAAGATGTACCTCAGAAACCAGGAGGTGAAACCACACCTTCAGTAACTGACTTACTAAATTATTTTTTGGCTCCAGAGATTCTTACTGGTGATAACCAATATTATTGTGAAAACTGTGCCTCTCTGCAGAATGCTGAGAAAACTATGCAAATCACAGAGGAACCTGAATACCTTATTCTTACTCTCCTGAGATTTTCGTATGATCAGAAGTATCATGTGAGAAGGAAAATTTTAGACAATGTATCACTGCCACTGGTTTTGGAGTTGCCAGTTAAAAGAACTACTTCTTTCTCTTCGTTGTCAGAAAGTTGGTCTGTAGATGTTGACTTCACTGATCTTAGTGAGAACCTTGCTAAAAAATTAAAGCCTTCAGGGACTGATGAAGCTTCCTGCACAAAATTGGTGCCCTATCTATTAAGTTCTGTTGTGGTTCACTCTGGTATATCCTCTGAAAGTGGGCATTACTATTCTTATGCCAGAAATATCACAGGTACAGAGTCTTCATATCAGATATACCACCAGTCTGAGGCTCTGGCATTAGCATCCTCCCAGAGTCATTTACTAGGGAGAGAGAGTCCCAGTGCAGTTTTTGAACAGGATTTGGAAAATAAGGAAATGTCAAAAGAATGGTTTTTATTTAATGACAGTAGAGTGACATTTACTTCATTTCAGTCAGTCCAGAAAATTACAAGTAGGTTTCCAAAGGACACAGCTTATGTGCTTTTGTATAAAAAACAGCATAGTACTAATGGTTTAAGTGGTAATAACCCAACCAGTGGACTCTGGATAAATGGAGACCCACCTCTGCAGAAAGAACTTATGGATGCTATAACAAAAGACAATAAATTATATTTACAGGTAAGTTGGAAATACTTTATTTGTTGAAAATATTAAACAATTGATAGATAGTTAAGTGAGTACCCTCATTTTGAAATCTAACTTACAAGTTTTTATGAAACTCTGAAATGTAGGTCTGGATTTATATGAAGTATTCTCTACCTGTATAAATTACCTTTCTAATATTGTGACAATTTAAATGAAAAGTGGCAATCAGATGTAATGCGGAAGATTTTATTTGTTCATTACAAAAGATGGCTCATTATGAAATCATGCCATACAAAATACAGAAAGTTTACAAAAGTGGACATATCCTCAGTCTCACCCACCAGAGGAAACAACTGCTAAATGTGGTGTTTATGCCCGCAAGACCTTTGTGCAAATATTTTAAGGGCTATTTATTGATATTTAGGTGGATAAGATAAAAAAACACTAAAAGGTAGACTATGTAAAGAAAAGATACTCATATTCTTTGAGGATGTGGGCAGTAAAACCAAGGAGATAATAGAACAATTATAAATCAAAGCCAAGAAATGGTTTTATATGAGATAAATTTATTCATAAATATACTTTTTTCAAGGAGTTAGTGATTTTATTACTTAAAGGCTAATAAAAAGTTAACATTCTTGCTGAAAGTATTTTTTTGTTGTTGTTGTTTTTGAAACTTGCCAGTTTGTTCTCAACATACAGGGCTAGCAGTAAATTACAGGTGAAATTCTAGGTATATTAATTGGGTGGTCTCAGTGATTTTGAGTTTGAATGAGTATATTTTAAAAATTTTGTGTTTGAAAGTCACTCCTGAAAGATACAGATAGAATAAGAAATGTACCACTATAGTACTGATTTTTAGAGGGAAATTTTCTCAAAAGCCTTCAAATTTACTGCATTATAAAATACTCATACATTTTTAAAGAAATACAGCAATGTTCTTGAGTGACAAAAACAATGAACTTTACAGAAATAAATAGAAAATCAGAATATTTGTTTGAACTGATTAACTACTGAAGACTAACATCTAGTCAGATGGCTTATAATCAACATACTAGAAATAGATTGTATTCAACTGTGTCCTTCTTACTAGATATCATATAAACATTAGTCAAAGGAGAAATACGGGTTTTGAAAGATAAAAAACTACTCTCATTTCTGTGATTAGAATCCCAAATGCTTGTATAGCCATAGCAACTACTTGTTTGTAGCTTAGCTCCAAGTGATTTTCCAGTTTATCTTGCCATTTACCCCATTACTTTCTGATTATACAATATTTGAGCGTGAGGAACCATTCTTTTAATTATTATTTTAAGACTCGTATGTTACTTTAATATAAAGAAAAAGCATTCTGTATTTTGTTAATTCAGTTTTTCAGTTTTATGCAGTTGTAAATTCCATCTTAAGTTTCATATTGACAAGTTGTTTAATGCAAGAAAAGATACCGCCAAATTTTACATTAAAGTATTTTCCTTATTAAGACTAGGTAGTAAATCAGAGTTTCATTATCAGAGTACCCTTTTAAAGCAAAAATACAATAATAAGTATTCAATTTTTTTTTTTTTTTTTTTTTTGAGATTGTCTCATTCTGTCACCCAGGCTGAAGTTCAGTGCCATGATCATGGTTTACTGAAGCCTTGAACTCCTGGGCTCAAGTGATCCTCCTGCCTCAGCTTCCTGAGTAGCTAAGGACTATAGGCATGTGTCACCATGCCTGGCTAATTTTTTAAAAAAAGTTTTTTTAAAGATTGTCTTGCCATTTTACCCAGGCTAGTCTCAAACTCCAGGGCTCAAGCAGTCCTCCCTCCTCGACCTCCCAAAGTGCTGGGCCACTGCATGTGGCCCAATAATCAACTCAGGAACTTATATTTAGATTGTGATTATTTACATTTATTGATTGATTGATTGACACAGAGTCTCACTCTGTCACCCAGGCTGGAGTGCAGTGGCTTGATCTCGGCTCACTGCAACCTCCGCTCCTGGGTTCAAGCAAATCTCAGGTCTCAGATACCCACCCAAGTAGCTGGGATTACAGGCATACGCCACCATGCCTGGTAAATTTTTTTGTATTTTTAGTAGAGACGAGTTTCGTCATGTTGGCCAGGCTGGTCTCAAACTCCTGGCCTCAAGTGATCTGCCCACCTTGGCCTCCCAAAGTGCTAGGATTACAGGCATGAGCCACTGTGCCCAGCCTGTTTACTTTTAAATACAGTGATTGATAAAGGCTCAAATTGTGAAGTTTTTCATACCATTTAATCAGATCATTCTGGTATTTTAAGTACATGTTGAGAGACTACATTGTTTATTCTGTTATGTGAATGCTCATAATTACCAGGCAATAGAAAACTGTAGTGTTGAGATTATGTATACAGCAGTTTTCAGCTATCACTTCTTAGTTTTAAACACCTGGAGCATGTACATGTGTGTTTTCATTCTATCATTTTGTTTTTATATCCGTTTTTCAGATATAATTCTTATATGTCATGCTTTATAATAGATTAGTATGTCTGGACTATAGCTTTAAGAAATAGCATTATACCTATTTATAAAACAGTTATAAAAACTTAAATCGTAAAAGTAAGGATGTGAAGTGAACATTCTGAGTTCCTCTGCTCTTGAACAATATTGCTAATGAATTTAACATTTTAGTACATATCAGGGTAGCTGCTTTCATTTTAATACTTCATAATCACATTACAAACTCACCTTGTGATAATTTTAAGAAGCTTTTTTTAGGATTTCATTTTTACATTTTAGGATTTCATTTTTCAATTTTAAATCTAGCCACAACCAGATTTACAAGTGTTAGAAAATATTGCTCTTTTGAGTATTGGTAAGATCCGTGGTTTTGAAAAACCCAGGCAAAAAATCTTTTATGACAAACCATTTTCTACTCTGTGTATCATAGCCTGACATTTGGGAAAACAATGCAAATTGTGGATTTCGAAGTAAATTTTTGAAAGGACTTTTCTCTTCGTATATTTCTTTCCCTTCAGTCCAGCTTCCATTAGGAGTATCTCCATTGTTTTAGTGTCTGGAATATAAAAACTAAGCCTTTGGCTAGGATACAGTGAGAGATTGTGTAATACATCATTCTTGCATGGTCCAGATTACCCACCCATCTGTCCCGCATCAGCCACAGTCCGCTTCCTATCTTTTCTTGCTTGGTTTATTTCCTTTGTTTCTTTGGAGGAGGTAGTGGTTCTTAACTTCTTAATTCTTTTCTTTTTCATACATTCAGAAGAGTATATTCAATATGTATGTGCAGTTTAAAAAAAAGGATTAATGTCAACAGTTTCACTTGAATGAGAAATATAAATATACTGAAAATTATTTGTCTCAAGGAGCAATAACTTTCCTGTGACTAGATCTATAGTCTACTACTGAAATTAGAATTAACTTTAGTACTCATATAAATTTGTGATATAAATTACACATTCTGTGATAATCATAATTTTGACATTGTATACAATGTTCTTACCTATATTAAGTAAAATGAAAGACAGTTTTTCCTATTTTTATCCATTGTCTAAGCTTATCATCAGAAAACAGAATACCGCACATTTTTTTCTGTCAGCCATATATTTCTATAAATAATAAAGCAGAAAAAGAATATTACTTTTTTGGGATGCTGTATATCTTGAAATACAATATAGGTTTCATGGGTACACATGCAATGGAGTTACTAATTTTATATTTTATGTCATTTGACATAGTTTCTTTAAGGGAATCACTGTACAAAAACGTCTATGCAAAATTTGCCATATCTTTTAGTAGCAGAAGTTGAAGAAGAACTTCTTAAACTCTACCTTACATGTCTGTTCAGTTTTAATTCATTAGGGAACATCATCTATGTATCTGAAACCGTGTATTGTTTCTCAGATACAGAGTCATAGTTTCATTGCTTGTTTGGATAGTTTAATAGGTTATAGAGCTAGAACAATGAGGATTTGTGGCTGGGGGGGTTTGTGTCTGTTTCTGATGTTACTTATGGCACTTAATTTCAATCTGTAAAACATTTGTAATTCCTACTTTAATTTTATAGATCAAGGATAAATTAATATATATATCACCTTAAAAATACTCTGTAGGTAGACATTATACCAAAGAGCCAGCAATTATTGTAAATGACACTGTAAATCACAAAAATGTTTTTAAGAAATATCCTGCAAATTAAGTTTTAAAAGCTCTATCAGAGACTGGTTAGTTAAGCCATTTTGTTACAAGGATTTATCAAAGGTCCCTTTCAGCCATGAAAATAGGTGATTCTTGATCATTTTGTGTACTGGGACTTGAACAGAAGATGCTGTATGCTACTGAAAAATAAAGTATCCATAATGTGACAGATAGGTGTCAGGGTATGCCTGGGTCTTTTCTTCGTAATGAAAAATTGAGCATTTTGTGAAGAGGGAATAATAATAAACTAAATCATTTTAGCTAGAAATTATAAAATAGTATTACCTTGCCAGATGGAACAAAATCACTAGGCCTTAAGTTGAAAAATCGAAATAATAGTGTTTTTGTTATTAATGTTAACTGTATTTTGAAAGCCCTTCAGGATAATTATGCTAACAAGTTCAGGTATGCTGTGACCAGTAACTTTTAGACCTTATTTTTACCAACCCCATTTGAAATCTGTAGATCCTCTTCCAGAAAAATAGGCACATGCCAGAATATTTTACCTATTTTTCCAAAGAGTTTGTGGGTCCCAGTTTTAGAATCCAGTTGTGTACCTTGCCAAATGAATTTGCCAGTATTTGTTCACATTTGCTCCCTTTGAAGCTAAGCACCTAATAGAATTCTAATCTGAGATCATTAATATTTATTGAATACCTAATATATGCCTGGCATCTAGATAAATATGATTTATTTCTGATAAAAGTTTTCCTGATAAGGAAACGTTTTAGATATTACTGTGAGGAGGTAGGCTTCATTTTACTTGTCAGTGTTTTTTGAGACCTGTCTTATTATTTATTGAGAAATAGTCTATGGAAAGGGCAGAAAAAAAATTCATTCTTCTTCCTTTATTCATATGTTTAACTGTAATCACCCACTTCCAAAATAGCCCCAATTGCTAGAGAATAGATAATCTATTGTGATAATCTTTGAATTCCATGTTAAATATATTAGGAAAGAATCTATTCCAATATGTTTTAGAGTGTTGCAGGAACTGTAATACTTTCTTAGAGAAGTTTTTTTTTCGTAGGTGCTTTAGTTTCAAAGTTATTGAGATTTGAGGAATGCTTCTACGGATTAAGGTAGTTTTAAAATATTTCTATAGATGATATAACCATTGTATTTAGCATTTTAATTTCATAAAAATTATTTTTAATTTTAGGAACAAGAGTTGAATGCTCGAGCCCGGGCCCTACAAGCTGCATCTGCTTCATGTTCATTTCGGCCCAATGGATTTGATGACAATGACCCACCAGGAAGCTGTGGACCAACTGGTGGAGGGGGTGGAGGAGGATTTAATACAGTTGGCAGACTCGTATTTTGATCCTGAGAGAGTCCAAAATGCACCGGTCACGAAACATCTAATACCATGACTGTTAAAATGTCACAGACTATAACAAATATCTATCTTTTATTTTTCATTAGACCCTTATACTTCAAGAGAACACATTCAGTGCTTGTTTTTATTTTCTTGACACATTTATTAACAAAATGCATCATGGAAAAAAAATCTACCTCTTAAAATTCCATTTGCTTTTATGGTTAGACATGCTTGACCAAAAATGTTCAGAAGAAAATATGTACCTGGTCCCTAATTAAGCTGCATTAAATTTGGTAGAAGCATTTAAATGGTCTATCTTCAGTTTTACTGAACAAAAAATGTAATTTATTTAGCATTCTTTATAAAAGAATTGATGCTAGAGGTAAAAAAAAAAAAAAAATACTTGTTTTTAAAAAATCCTTTATGTCTTGTGTAATTACCCCATTATTAAATTCAAGTCTTTAAAAATCAACTAGAGATGATAAAGTCTCTAAGGAAGGCAATAACAAAATTTATCAAGATATAGTACTTTTCAGTTTTTGTGTAGTGTCTTCAGCATCACTGTATCTGTATTTCAAGTACAAATGTTTTTAAAAAGGATTCTTTATACATATGTGCTGAATTGATTTTAAGAAAGTTGCATGATCCTGTAGGAGCAACATTTTTACCTAAAAAATGCTAACTTTGTAGTATTTCTAATTGTTCAAGGATTTTAAAATTCTATTTCAGGGAGTATATCTTCTGTGTGTTTTGAAGGAGGTGAGTTCTGTATGTGCCTTGCAGTACTGTAATTCAAAAATAGGAATCTTTGGCTGCGAAATGTTTTTTTTTTTTTTAAATGAAATGTTAGGAAGTAATTTTTGTGCTAACATTAAAATTATAACTTTTTGAAAGGTAATAGATTTTCCTTAAGTAAAATCTGATGGTTCTAAATCAATCAATGTGATAGTTCATTTTTAACTCTTAGAAGAATTCAGAGGAAATGAACCCAGCTAAGTATAAAATCTTTCTTGATTTTGTTACTTATTCCTCAGAATATTAAACATTGATCACATATTTTTAGAGTTGTACATTTGGGTTTTTTGTTTGTTTCAGTCATATGTTTTGCACCGTTGTTTCTATTTTCATAGTTCTAGATAAAATGTTAAAATGCCAAACCCTACCTTCCTACACTTTCTTTTGCCAGGAAACTGGAAACATGTCAGTTCTCCTGGTTCTTGATTATACAGTACTCAAGAATTATCCCAGTTATCCCCCTTCCTAAAGGTTTTAACTTATCCACAGTTGTTCATTGTTCTCAAGATTGGTCTCATATTTATTTTGAAAACATTTTAAGGAAAAGAATGTTCTTCGATTATTTGGGGCTTATCTTTCTCCCAAGCTTTTATGGCAGTGGTTAAAAAAAACAGAAATCCTCATGTTTATTCCACTACCTCCCATTCCTAACCTGTTTCCAGTCACCAGGAAGATTAGGAGGGCGGATTAGATTAAAAACTGAAAATTCTTTGCAGATTTAATCAAGGTTCTCCTCCTTATAAATGAATGAACCAGTTATCATGCTTTTCTGTGGTCTTCTTATCCCAATAGTGAATTTCTGAGCTATCCTGTGTATTCAGTTATCCACTTACTTGATAGCAACTTATGATCAGATTATATCAGTCTTGGCATTTATTGAAATTGGTAAAGTGATTTAATATTTGATAGATTGATATTGGGCTAAGATGCTTCTAGCAACTTTCATAAAAGCAATTAGACTTACGCAGCTTTATCTATGAATATCAATCAGGTCTCTCAAGGATTTTATGTATCAAGATAATATGTATTGACTTTTTTAAATGATAAAATGAATTCTAGTTAGAGTCTTTCCTTAGTATCTGCAGTGGATTGGTTCCAGAACACCATCCCCCAATATTAAAATCCACAGATGCTCAAGTCCCTTATTTATATAAAATAGCACAGAATTTGCATATAACCTATGCACATCCTCCCATATACTTTAATCTCTACATGATGAGATATGATTGCATAGCACTTACATTGTGCTATGTACTTGTTATATTGTTTTTTCATTTGTGCTATTTTTTATTACATTTATTGGTTTTTTAAATTTTCTATCCAAAGTTGTTTGAATCTACGGATACAGAGCCTGAGGATATGGAAAGCTGACTGAATACAGTAACACTGAGAGTATTCAAATAACTTCATACCAGTACCAAAAACTTGAAGACTTCCTTTTAACATTAAAAATATAGTAACCTTTTACATGATTTGTTGAATTCAAAATATTTGGAACCAGAATAATCAGAAACTTCATTCAAAACCTATGCAGCTGAACTTTTTTAGTAAGGTAATACTCAGGACTGCTGTGATTCTAACAGATCCCTGTGACTTAATTACAGATTTATTTGTCATATTAGGTCTTTTCTTTCTCCCATATTCCTAACCCTTGTGCTTAGCTCCAACTCTTGTGAGATTTAACTCTGAAGACTGAGTAGAGTGCTACTGCTGTTTGTCTTTCCTTTAGTCCAGAGTAATCAGTTTAAATGAAGTTGCTTATTACTGCTAAGAAGCATTAGGCTTCACTGCTAGCAAAAATGAAAAACTGTAAATCTGAGTCTTTCTTTCAAAGATGTTTATTGACACAATTAAAGTAAAAACTTGTTTAGAGATATGCAAAGAAGGAAATATATAGGATGTCACACAAGCTCTGATAACCTATCCACTAAGCAGGTGCCTATGCAACTCTGATTTATGGCATTAACATATCTCAAATTGGAAGAAGGATTCTAGCTCATTCTCCATTCAAGCATCTTCCCACTGCCTCTCTTCCAGTTAAATAATCAGAGAAGCAGGGCAGCATATGCCTGGAGATCCCTGACGTTTATCTCCGTACCTTAAATTGTTGATAGATCCTTTGGATGTAGAGATAAAAATCCATCATGATGTCTAGAGGTACTGGGGGGTCCATGTGAAAGGTTCAAACAACCTATTACATATAACGCACATCTGGAAAGAATAAAAATTTTCAAGCTAAGTCTTAAGTTCAAATCTATATTTTTTTCTCTTCAGTTCTGTTCTTTGTATGATAATATTTACAAAAGTAGTTGTCTTCTTTTCACATACTACCTCTTTAAAGCTATCATCTTATAATAAATGGAATTGGATGCTTATTGTGTGCCCAGCACAGTTTAGGAAAAAAATAAGTGGCATAGTTTCTCCAGTTACTGGAAATCTTCATTTTGATGCTTTGTACTTTGTTCCAGGTCTTTAATTCTCAGTCAGTCTTTTCCTATATTGTGTACTTCACATGATACATTCCATATAAAGAGCTCTTTTAAAATGAATATTTCAAAAATACTGTACATTTATACTATTTTTTCTTATACAAATTCGATAGTTTATATATCCTTTCATCATACATTTTTTCTAATGAGTTTAGATTTCTGAAACTAAATATTCCTGAGGTAGAGAAAAGTTAATTCACATTTTACGAAAACATACTAGGAAATGCTAACTGGTTGTTGTTAGCAACTCAGTGACATCACCCAGAGGAGTAAGGTTAAATCTTAGATAATGCAAACCTGTAACTAAGAAGTTAAAGTTCAACAGTAAGGAAATTTGAATTAAAAGTTGCTATCCCAAAAAAACAAATAATTCTAAAATATAAGCTGTTTCATATGTATATTCTTAAGTTTTATCAAACTGTTATGTATCTTCAGTGTTAGCCTAAGTTAATTTTCTTACAGAGTCCTTTTTTAGAAGTGAACGAACCTCAAAATGAATGGGGGATTAAAAAAACAAACTGCTTTATAAAAACTAGCTTGTTTTAAAAAAAAACTTTCCCATATGAAGAAATTTGTATAGAAATAATTTTTAAAGAAATGAGAATCAAGATTTTCATAAAATCAGCAATCTAGGTTTCACAAATTCAAAAGAATTTATTATATAAAACCATTAGCCCCACTGTTACATAACCAGTGTGGACTTAACATTAAAAATAGAATCTAAGAAGTCAGCCAAGTGTATTGCCAGCTCTCGTCAGTGTCTGTTACGACCTGCAGTTGTTTTTCTCTTCATGGAGCTCATGTTTTCATGTTTTGCTTGTGTTGTTGACACGCGCACATGCACACACACACACACACCCCCCTTGATTTCAGAGGGTGAAAAATTTAGCCTTTCCTGGCCAGATCATCAGTTTTTAACCTTGCATTTCATGTTAAAATCACTTGAAGAGCTTTTTAAAAATACCATGCCCAAGCCTCATCCCAGACCAATTACATTATGTGGAGACTGGGCATCAATGTTTTTTGAAGTTCCTCACGTGATTTTAATGTGCCACCTGGGTTGAGAACTGGACTATAAAAGGAATTTCTTCCCCATAGGTCTTTCGTTCAAGGGGATTATTAACATATGTCAAGAGTCTACCGTGTGCTGGCAGATATTTATGTCTTTTTAACTTATACCAGCCCTGTAAGTGGGCTCATACCCATATCCTCCCTCACCTCTTAATGGACAAAGAAAATAAAGACTCTGATTAAGGAACTTGCTCAACATCGTGCAACTAGTGAAAATCAGAGCTGAGATTTTAACCCAAGTCTTCAGAGCTCCAAAGTCAATATTCTAATGGAGCACAGGACTTAAGCAAATTACATATTAACAAAAGCTTAACAATGAATTTTGTAAAATGAAATATCAGTGTTTCCCTTATCCTTTTGCACTCCAAACATGATTCCTTAAGAAAAAAAAAAAGAAAGAAAGAAAAGATCTACTTTGTTAAAACCTATATGTGATAATCTAAAGGGTTGAGAAATGTGGTTCTTAAACTCATTTGTTATACCCGCTTAGTTTCTGTTTGCTTTACTAGGCTTATCTCTTCCATTCTTGCCTTTATGCCCTCTCTCATGCATATTGGACCTTGCATCATGTTTTTTCACACAGCACCATATACTTGCCATCTCGAGACCTTTGCACATTCAGGTCTCAGGATAGCATACCTTATGCTACTTTCTCTTCCCAGCTTTCAGCGGACTAATTAATTGCCTCCTACCTCCATATGTTCATATCTTCTCATACTGACCTCCCAAGCTGATTAGTCTCCCCCTTTATCCTGAGGTGTGTATTGTGCTTCCCTTTGAGAAGGCCATGGCTTAGCAATGGGGCTAAATTAGCACTGAAGTAAAGGCTAATCCTTTACAGTATAAAGTTTACACCCAACAGAGATTAAAAGTAGGTCTTAAAAGGATCAAATTCTAATGCTGGTTAAATTCTTTAAGTAATTTAACTGCATACAGAACAAATTGCAATCTCTTTAAGGAAATGCAGTATACATACCCAGCATTGGTATTGTGAAGTAAAATTCACAATATCCAGCATCTGATCAAAAAGTATGAGGCATTCAAAGAAGGAAAAAAATCCAGAAATTATGGAAAGAAAGGAATTTGCGAAGTAGGAGCTTAAAAGGAACGTAGAAAATCATGAGCACAGTGAAGAGAAAAATGGAGGATCCAAGAGTCCATTATCCAAGAGAAAATTAAAAGCACCCAGAGGAAAAGAATATGAAGTCAGGAAACAATACACAGCCCACAGGTCAAGTCTATCCTGCGTCCTGTTTTTTCATAAGTAAAGTTTTATTGGAGCACTGCTATACCTGTGACATATTGTGTATGGCTGTTTTTACACTACAATGGTAGAGCTGAGTACTTATGACAGAGATCATATATATTAGTCTGTTTTCATACTGCTATAAAGAACTGCCTGAGACTGGGTAATTTATAAAGAAGAGGATTAATTGACTCGCAGTTCTGCATGACTTGGGAAGCTTCAGGAAACACAATCATGGCAGAAGGTGAAGCAGGCTTGCATTACAAGGTGGCAGGCAAGAGACAGCAGGGAAAACTATCTTATAAAACCATCACATCTCGTAAGAACTCACTATCCTGAGAACAGCATGAAGGAACTCGCCCCCATGATCCAATCACCTCCCATCAGGTTCCTCTCTCAACACGCGGAAATTACAATCCAAGATGAGATTGTATGTGGTGTAACCATATCACCATACAGCCTGCAGAGCCTAAAATATTTACTATGGTACATAAAGAAATTCTGATCCTTCATATAGAGAAACAAAAGACCAGTCATTTTATCAGAATATGAAAGCTAAGGATAGTGGAATGGCATCTAAAAAGTGCAGAAGGGAAAAAAAGTCAACTTAGTGAATACTCACTATATCCAGTGAAGATTCATTCAACATGAAGGTGAAGTAGATATTTTTTGACAAAAGCTGAGAGAATTTTTTCTCGAATATTTGCACTACAAGATAAGTTAAAATTCTTCAGGCTGAAGACAGCATACCAGGTGGAAATGTGGATCTACAAAAAGGAAGGAAGATTTGGAAATGGATTGGGCACCATTGACTCAATTTACAGAAGAAGAAAGCAGGGACAGTTTTGGGAAGCTCAAGACACACTGTGCCCATGAGCAGCAATTTGGACCTCCTGCTGCATCCACTATGCATCAAACACACACTGTACAGACAAAGACTCCTAGGAAAAGAAGTATAACATGGACTAACACAGAGGTGGGCAAACTACAGCCTCTGTCCCAGCCACCTGTTTATGTCGAATCCAAAGTAAGAATGTTTAACTTACACATAAACTTCCAGAATTGAGTTTAGTAAGTCTCCTAACTACAGAGTTAATATACAAAGTTCAAGGGTATATTTACACACCAGTGACAGGTATTAGAATAAGACATTTTAAAATACTGACAATAATGTAAAAAATCAATTTTTTAGACATCTAGAAACAGTTTTTTAGAAATAAAAGATGCATAAGACTGCCACACAATACCGCAAAACATTATTTAGGAAATTAAAGAAGACCTAAATAAATCATGGCTTGGAAGACTCAATTTTATAAATACTTAATTTTTCCTCAGAATAAATAGTTAACTTTTCCCAGTCTATAGAATCAATGTGATCCCAATCTGGGAATTCTATTTTGTATCGAGGAGCTGATTCTGAAATGTAAAGGGAAAAATTCCAAAAATTGTCAAGACTCTTGGAAATGAGGAACAAGATAGAATGACTTTCTTTACAAGATAAAACTTATAAGGCTAAAATAATTCAGATGAGGGGACTTATCAGAAATAGGCCCATACTTACATGCATATGTGATTTATGACAAAAATAATGTGACCATCCTGGTTGTTTGAGACTGAGGCTGTTCCCAAGACATAGAAATTTCAGCTAAAACCAAGGAAGTCCCAGGCAAACTGCAATGACTTGGCCCCTAGACAAAGGTGACACTTCAAAGCAATGTGAAAAGGATGGTCTTTTCCATAAATTTTAGTGGTACAGTGGGTAATCATGTAAAATAAAAGAAACTTAACCCTTGCTGCACACTATATATAAAAAATACATTTCAAGTGGATTTTAACTGTAAACTGGAAGGGAAAATAACACTTCAAAGAGATTACTTAGAACATCTTCAAAATCTAGGTGTATGGTTAAGATTTCTTAAACAGGACCAAAAAATCCTTAGTCATGAAGGAAAACAGTGATAAAATGGATTACATTAAGGTGAAAAGCTTTTCATCAAAAACTCCATTAAGAATAAAATATGGACCAGGTGTGGTGGCTCACACCTGTAATTCCAACACTTTGGGAGGCCAAGATGGGAGGATCACTCGAGCCCAGGAGTTCAAGACCAGCCCGGGCAATTTAGTGAGACATCATCTCTAATTTAAAAATAAATAAGAACAAAATACAAAGCTACAAAGTGGTACATCTGTGTAAATCATAAGTGAACATATAAAGAACTGCAAACCAACATAGAAAACCCATAGAAAAATGAGCAAAAGACTTGAGCAGGCACTTCCAAAGAAAAGAAATTTCTAATAAACATACAGAAACCTGCTGAACTTCATTAATCACCAAACCTCAATAATACACCATTAATGCTCATAGAATGAATAAACTTAAAAAAAACTGGCAATATCAAATATTGGTGAGGATGTAGAAAGTTAATTCTCATATACTACTTACAAGAGCGT